CATTTTTTAAAATTCTGTAACTTTGACATTTTTCGTTCAATTTGATTTGAATTTTTAGTATTTTTTGCCTCTAAGCTCCAAAAATATTACCTCGAGATGTCATGTTTGTGCCTCAAGTAGTTTTTGAGTAAATGGTGAAAATGTAGAGGCATGTCATATTCAGCTTTATAGAAGAAAATATCCATTTTTTAAAATTCTGTAACTTTGACATTTTTCTTTCAATTGATTTGAATTTTTAGTATGGTTTGCCTCTAAGCCTTAAAAATATCGCCTCAAAATGTCATATTTGTACCTCAAGTAGTTTTTGAGTAAATGGTAAAAATGTAGAGGCATGTCATATTCAGCTTTATGGTAGAAAATATCCATTTTTTAAAATTTTGTAACTTTGATATTTTTCGTTCAATTGATTTGAATTTTTAGTATGATTTGCCTCTAAGCCTCAAAAATATCATCTCAAAATGTCACGTTTGTGCCTCAAGTAGTTTTTGAGTAAATGGGCAAAATGTAGAGGTATATCATTTTCAGCTTTATAGAAGAAAATATCCATTTTTTAAAATTCTGTAACTTTGACATTTTTCGTTCAATTGATTCGAATTTTTAGTATGTTTTGCCTCTAAGCCTCCAAAATATCACCTCAAAATGTCATGTTTGTGCCTCAAGTAATTTTTGAGTAAATGGTCAAAATGTGGAGGCTTATCATATTCAGCCTTATAGAGGAAAATGTTATTTTTTAAAAATCTTGTAACTTTGTAATTTTTGGTTCAATTGATTTAAATTTTTAGTATGTTTTGCCTCTAAGCCTCAAAAATATTGCCTCAAAATGTCATGTTTGTGCCTCAAGTAGTTTTTGAGTAAATGGTCAAAATGTAGAGGCATGTCATATCTAGTTTTATAGAAGAAAATGTCCATTTTTATAAATCTTGTAACTTTGACATTTTTTGTTCAATTGATTTGAATTTTTAGTATGTTTCACCTCCAAGCCTCAAAAATATGCTCTCAAAATCTCATGTTTGCTCATCAAGTAGTTTTTGAGTAAATGGACAAAATGTAGAGGCAATGTATGAAAATATTCAATTACAAGAGCCTGGAATAGACAAAAAATTAATTTTTTAAATTGAGGCTTCTCAGGGGTTCAAAACACCTTAAATTCAATGATACTCTGAAAAATCAATTTTGAGAATTTGGACCTTAAATCCTATAGTCTATCTCATTAAAGTCGATAGCTCAAATTCAGAATTAGACAGAATGACTTTATAGTCCTAAACCTCGATTTAGCCTAATAACTGTAATGAAATAGACTATAGTCCAGTCAATTTATACACACAAGCTTCCAGAAAACTTTATTGTGCCTAAATCAAGTCAAACATTTGGAAAACTCAGACAAACAATCTTGTCTCAAAAGATAAATACATTATTCGTAATAGAAATATCAATGACTAAAAAGAGATGCTCAGAAAATTCAAGCTTCAATAATTCCTTACCTGGATTGAGCAACAGCATAAACTTGATACAAATATAATCGCTGACGTCAAACTTCAACTCTTGCAACTTGGCGGTGATGTTGTTGAAATGATCAACCAAACTGGGCACGCCCAACAAACCCAGACTCAGCAAATCAAACTTTTGTCCATTGTGCAGCGTCGTCTCGTCCGGCAAATTGTTGTGCATGCGCTGATGTATATGATCAAGCACCAGCATGTCCGACCACGAGTGCTGCAGCAACTTCATCTGATCGTCCACCTGCAATCCGTAAAACTTCTTTAAATCATGAGAATGTTGTTAATATTGTGAGTCATGCAACCGATTTTTATTTTATATGAACTTGGCCTCAATTTGTAATAGTAGGCCATCATCGTTTAATCATTTTCACTTTCGATTCTGGGGCTTTTTACGTAACGATTGTCTTCTTTTTTTGTGTCAGCGCATTGTTGCCATTATATGAAGGTTCTTCCTATACATAGTTGATTAAAAACAGGAAATTAATTATTCTGAGAACTTAATATAATTCTGGCTTGAAGCTTAAGTAGGCATTATTTTTACGCAAGTATCGTTACGAAATACAGCCATGCGTAAAGCGAATTTACATTTAGATTCTAATTAAGGGGGAGATCTTTTTTGCATTTAATTATGCAAATTGTCAAGGGGTATGTTATTGATTATTTGAAATCACGCAATCCAAACTGTAAGAAAAGTAACTTATTACACATCATTTTTGTGCCATTATTCCATAATAGTTCTTGACCTAGTAACAATTATGTTATCTATTTTGGCAAACATCAATGGTACGCCACTGATTTTTCTCAAAATAAAAATTATTTTTGGAATCCTCAATAATTTCTGGACAAATTTGATTTCTTGATTTTTTTCACTCCGATGCGCGGTTTTGGCTTAAAAAAATAAAAACCATTTCTCTGCATGATCATATTGTCATTATTATGCAGAGAAAGGGTTTTTATTTTTTCAAGCCAAAATCGTGCATCGGAGTGAAAAAAATCAAGAGACCAAATTTGTTTAGAAATGATTGGAGATTTCAAAAATAATTTTTATTTCAATATCAATCAGTGGCGTACCATTGATATCGTCCAAAATAATACATACATTTATATGAAATTATTTTGTATGGATCATCATATTATGATTTGCAACCAGAAAATAAAAAATCTCCAAAAAAAAATCATAAATCGCGTGACCTGGATAAAAGTGTACTAAAAATTGCGTCATGGAAATCGGTTCGTTAAATTTCGTATTTAAATGCCGCTCAATTTGGTAAAACGAAAAATTGCTCAACTTCACACACAGTCAGTCACTACACGCTGGCGAGATTGACCAAGAGTTTTCGTATTATTTGGGTCGCGGACATTCTACCTACGGTTGCGGCTGCGCCCGATCTTAATCGTTCTGTCCCCTTTTTATAATTGGATATATTTTGTTTGCTCGTTACCCATTGTGGTTTTTGTATGGTAGGGTAGGGTTGGACTGAACCCATGAGGTATAAGTATGGAGATATCGCAGGCCAAACTTGAAAACCAAAGTCTTCTACCTTGAGGGTTTGTTTTTCATTCAATTTCAAATTGTTCTTATCACTGGGTCATTAATAAAGAAGTTTTATGTTGAGTTTGAATAGAAATTATGAAGAAATTTCATTCTTAAAAATTCCCGGCTTTTGATTGGCTTAGAAATTTCAAGAGAAAAAACATGAATATCCTCTTATCTACCAATTTTTCGGCCTTCTGATTGGTTAGAAATTCTCTCTTCTCGCCTGTTAATTGGACTAAAATCATAGTTTTATTGGCAGCAACTTTGGTGTCTAGAAAAAATGTGGTTTTATCACTAGCCAATATGACAGTACTTGGAATACTCGTAACTGGCGGGTCTCTAGTCTTGTTGTTGACTCCTGTTATTTTGACTCTGGGTTTCACAAAGGCCTAATTCTGTTGGAAGCTTGGTTTTCCAGCAATTGGAGGTCCCTGCTCGGGCGCCAATTTTGTAACGCCCTCTCGGTTTTTCTTGTTTTTGCTTTAACGGTCCCTGCTCGGGTGCCAATTTTGTAGCGCACTTCCTTTTTTTCCTGTTTTTGCTTAGGATTATTGTGGTTGAAGGTCCACGTGCACCAGGTAGCTTATCACAGTGGAGATCAGGCGTTGAATCAGATGCAGTACAATTAAAAACAGAGTTTATTTTTTCAGTTTTCTTGCCTGTTGATTGGCCTAGAGATTCATTTTTTTAATATTCTCGGCTTTTGATTGGCGCGACCATTCCAGGTAGCTGTAGTTTATAGTTCAATGTTGCAAACATTGGGCGATTTTTAAGTAGAAGCCGGCAACAGTGTATAAGTTGAATCTACAAACCGGTTGGCAACACTTACTTGAGTCATGTTTGTGTCTTAAATACCTAATTTTTTGAGTAAAAAGTCAAAAGGTGGAGACATGTCATATTCAGTCTTATGAGGAAAATGTTCATTTTTAAAAATCTTGTAACTTTGCAATTTTTGGTTCAATTCATTTGAATTTTCAGTATGTTTTGCCTCTAAGTCTCAATAATATCGCCTTAAAATGTCATGTTTGTACCTCAAGTAGTTTTTGAGTAAATAGTCAAAATGTGGAGGCATGTCATATTCAGTCTTATAGAGGAAAATGTTCATTTTTAAAAATCTTGTAACTTTGCAATTTTCGGTTCAATTGATTTGATTTTTTAATATGTTTTGCCTCTAAGTCTCAATAATATCGCCTCAAAATGTCATGTTTGTGCCTTAAGTAGTTTTTGAGTAAATGGTCAAAAGGTGGAGGCATGTCATATTCAGCCTTATCAAGGAAAATGTTTATAATGGTGACATCATGAAAGTTGAATTCTACTTGTTATGATTCCAGCCCAGAATAAATAGATCGATTTCAAGGCTGGGATCATAACAAGTAGAATTCTATTTTTATGACATCAGTTTGCCTAGCAACGGTCATCATTGCCTGTACTGTATGGGATAAATAGGTCGCGGATGACGTCATGAAAGTGGAATTTTACTTGTCGTAATCCCAGCTCAGAATAGATCTGGTTCAATTTAAGTGAACCAGACCGTGTTCGATTGTAGTTGGATCAGTTTACCCCCATTAAGAAAAACATAATCTAAATCCACTCTAGATCACAAGAAGTGAACTAAAAATATTGCTCTACACCAAACGAACAACTGACAAGTGACAGTTGACAATTATCAAATTGAACCTACTTTTTCCGTTCAGATCGATCTGAACTGAACTGCATCACAACTCTGAACAATGATTTAAACAACAGTTCGATAACTGTTAACTGTCACTTGTCAGTTGTTTCAACACCCACTGATTAGAAAAATTTGAAGTTAAATATGAAAGATTAGTATCCATTAGCGTACAAAGGAATATTGTTTGGCATCAGATAATTATGACATGTCACTGCATCCAAGTTTGGCCTCCAATTTTTCCATACTTCATCCTCAGTGATCAATTGACATTTGACTTATGAATTTCCAAATATCAGAAACCAACAAATAAAGCAAAAATAATTACCTTGAGATCCTTGAAAAAAATCGAATTCCTCGCCCAGTCGACTTGCGAAAACAAATTCTGATCTAAAACTTTACACATAAGTTCGAACAAGTCCACCTCGCACTGATTGTACGTCTGACTCTGCAACAGTCCGTACAACGAGTTCTGCCACTCCCGATCGTCGATTGCCTGCACGAAATCGCGTATCAGAGGCGACACTTTGTTCTGAGGCACGCCCGGTACCACCGTGTCAAATTGGAACGATTTCGGACTGAGCGAGTGAGGCGATGTTGTTGTTGAGTTGGCTGCGCCCCACAGTTTCTGATCGATGTTCGGGTTTTGGGTTTGGTTGCTCGGAACACCGACGATTTGGAGTGCGGGTTGGCCGGTGGTATTTGATAGTTGCATTTGGGAGCTGACTTGGCCCAAGGCTACGGCTATTGGGGAAGGGGATGAGTCCGGGGATGACGTTAAGGAAGAAACCTATAACAGTAACAATAAAATTATTTGAAATCTAATATTTTAGAGCTGTGTCTGTCTCTGTTAAACATACTGTTCTTAGTGCATATCTGACTTTGTTTTACAATTGAACATCAGGATTGTATGACAAAGTTGTGGGGATTCTTATGCGCCTGATAATACCTTATTGTAATTTGTGGTTAAGAATTAGCATAGGTCTATCCAGTGGCGGCTCGTCAGAGGAGGTAGGAGAGGCTAAGCTTCCCCCAAAACATTAAAAATTTAATCTCAATTTTTTATTCCTGATTCCTAATCTATATCTATATATATAAAAATTAATGCCACTTTTCATTGTAATTTTATAACTCAAGAACGGGCTCACCTAGCTAAACCAAATGTTTAGGTTTTGTTCAGACTATTTATTAGATGGTTTATGTGAAGTTTGCACAAAATCGGTCGAGCGGTTCTTCATTTATCACATTTTTTGTAATAAATTAATTATTCAATAAATGGAGGATCATTTTGTTAATGGGGATTTTGCTGTCAAATTTAAACTTTTCTCAACATTGACAGTACCAGCATGTTGTTATGTCATTAATGTGGTTAATTTTTTTACTTATTTTATTTATTTATGAAAAAAATTTACTAAACCCGCATACGGCGCTATCTCTTATAACCGATACCAAATTTATTTTATATTTTGTACACCGCGCCATCTCTGATACCTGGAACGAAGCTCGGCATTGCAAATACAGTAGAACAATGCTGCTCAGGAACTGGAGCTATTTCGAACAGAACTATTCCAGTATTCCGATCAGATAGAGTGGTGCACAAAGAGTAGATCAGAGATTTTTTTTGTTTTCTTTATATTCTTTGAACATTCCTGTGCCTGAGTTTATTTATTTGGTAGTACACTTTACAAGAATAATGTTCACAAGCTGCCTAAAAAAGGATGAGTCCGGCCCGAAGGGCCGGAGTTATACGCGTGTTCGGCCCGAAGGGCCGGAGTTATACGCGAGTTCGGCCCGAAGGGCCGGAGTTATACGCGAGTTCGGCCCGAAGGGCCGGAGTTATATGCGAGCCAAGCCTGAAGGGCCAAAGTTAAACCCAAGCCTCCCCATCTTTCTTGATTTTGTTTTTTTTTTTCTGAATTTCAAAAAAAAAAAATATCATCGGATAGAGGAACAAAAAATACGACGAAAAGTTAATTTGACCCTCCCCGCTACGGCACGTCTTAAGGCCAAAAAACACACACATCTTATGGAATTTTGGTACCCAGTCAAATTTGATGGACGCCGGACTCGTTTATAACTTCCGACTCGCTTGTAACTCCGGCCCTTCGGGCCGGCCTCGCTTATAACTCCGGCCCTTCGGGCCGGCCTCGCTTATAACTCCGGCCCTTCGGGCCGGACTCGCGTATTACTCCGGCCCTTCGGGCCGGGCTCGGGGTATCTCAGATTCATAGATTTTTGTCGGGGAGGCACGAGATTGATCGAAATTAGATTTTTCTAGATTACATTGAAATATGGAAATTTGAAAAGTGTAATTTGTGAATTATTATTTTAGTTATGAGTTAGGAATAAAAAACTGGGATTGAATTTTCAATTTTTTGGGGGAGGCTTAACTTCCCCTGCCTCCTCTGACGAGCCGCCGCTGGTTCATTTTATTCAAGTCAAGGATTATATGACAAAGTTAGATATACATTAAGAATAGTATGTTTAATAGAGACAAACACAGCTTTGAAACATTAATTTTTATATTATACAGAGTGTTACAAATTGGTAAATAATCTCACTTTTCGTCTTTTTTTTTCCGAAATATCTCTTCAAATAAATTAAGGAAAAACATTTACCCACCCTGTATCTTTTACAATTACTATAACACCCTGTATACATTAACAATATACATACCTGAGGTATTTGAATTTCCTGTTTGATGTGTATATTGGCGAAAGGCGAAGTTCCAGGTTGACTGTACATGCTGTCCGACGATAGTTGGCTGCCTCTCAAAGTCTGAGCTGCCAACTGCCGCTGCCTCATGATTTGTAGTTTGCGCGCCCTATCCCGTTTGTACATTGGTCCGAATTTGTTCCTGCCTCCTCTCATACGATCTGCTCGAACAGCTAAAAAATGAAAGTATGTTTGTGTATATTGTTTCGCAACTTTTTTTTTTTTGATTTCACTTATGTATGTGTGATGTTTTAGACATTGGGTTTCACTTTACAAAAATTCAATAGCGATAACACAAATAAACTGGTTAAAAGAATATGAAGTTCAGTACCATAGCAAAAAGATTAGTTCAGGATCGCGGATCGGCTGCTTTCTCTGGCCTTGAAAACGGGCACCGGTGTTGCGTAACACAAAAGACTGTTGGCCGGTCTATTAATAGCCAAACATAAAAAATGACCCACAGGCAGTGCAGGATCTTTTGTTCTTAAAACTTTCAGTAATAACAAAACATTGATTGTGCTAATTATAAGTAAGATAGTTTATTTTCGCTGTTCTGCAACAACATTGAATCTGGGAATCCATATGTTGGGCTAATTATGCGGCCTTGACATGTTTCGGCCAACCAAAACCATCGAAATTGCTGGTTTCCTGCTTTGTTGTTTTTTTGAATCTATTGTTGGCGGTTTTTGCCTAGAGGGACCGACTGACATGTGCGAAGCACCTGCTAATGGTTGCAGGAGGATTCTAACCGACAAACACCTTGGCACAGTTGAAAAAGTAGGATTTGTATAGTAGGTGAACCTTGAAGTTTTGGAATAAGTTTACATGAGAAAGTACTGGTAACCTTAAGTCAAGTACAAGATATCTATTTGAAAAATTATTTGATATTTTACATCCTTCTTTGGTATCAAGTTGGAGATTTCAAGAGACTTCAGATGGACTTTAAATTTTCTCTATGTGATAAAAAGATCCTAGTTATTGAATCCTAATAAAAATCTCAAGTTGATCTGATTCCTCAAAGATGATATAATATGAAACTGGTATCAAGCTGGGAAAAACATCATAATTTTGTTTCTGAGTCTCAAATTGACTTCAAATTTGCCTTGCTTAATGAAAACATCCTGGTTAATGAATCCTGAAAGTTTCAAGTCGATTTGATACTCTGAAGTATTTTTCAGGATTTTTCAAAGGTGATTAAACATGAATTTCCTAACTTTTTCTGGTATTAAGTTGGAAAAAACTTCAAAATTTCATTTCTGAGCTTCAGCTTGACTTCAAATTTACCTTGTTTGATGTAAACATCCTGGTTATCAAATCCTGAAAGTTTCAAGTCGATCTGATACTCTGAAGTATTTTTCAGGATTTTTTAAAGGTGATTTAACCTGAATTTTTCCAACTTTTTCTGATATTAAGTTGGAAAAAACCTCATAATTTTATTTCTGAACTTCATATTGACTTCAAATTTGCCTTGTTTGATGAAAACATCTTGGTTATCAAATCCTGAAAGTTTCAAGTCGATCTGATACTCTGAGGTATTTTTCAGGATTTTTCAAAAGTGATTTAACGTAAATTTTTCAATTTTTTCTGGTATTAAGTTGGAAAAAACCTCATAATTTTATTTCTGAACTTCATATTGACTTCAAATTTGCCTCATTTGATGAAAACATCTTGGTTATCAAATCCTGTAAGTTTCAAGTCGATCTGATACTCTGAAGTATTTTTCAGGATTTTTTAAAGGTGATTTAACCTGAATTTTGCAACTTTTTCGGGTATTAAGTTGGAATAAACCTCATAATTTTACTTCTAAGCTTCAGATTGACTCCAAATCTGCTTTGCTTGATAAAAACATCCTGGTTTTCAAATCCTGAAAGTTTCAAGTCGATCTGATACTCCGAAGTATTTTTCAGGATTTTTCAAAGCAGCTTAACCTGAATTTTCCAACTTTTTCTGGTATCAAGTTGAAAAAAAACCTCATAATTTAATTTCTGAGCTTCATATTGACTTCAAGTTTGCCTTGTCTGATGAAAACATCCTGGTTATCAAATTCTGAAAGTTTCAAGTCGATCTGATACTCTGAAGTATTTTTCAGGATTTTTTAAAGGTGATTTAACCTGAATTTTCCAACTTTTTCTAGCATTAAGTTGGAATAAACCTCATAATTTCACTTCTAAGCTTCAGATTGACTCCAAATCTGCTTTGCTTGATAAAAACATCCTGGTTTTCAAATCTTGAAAGTTTCAAGTCGATCTGATACTCCGAAGTATTTTTCAGGATTTTTCAAAGCAGCTTAACCTGAATTTTCCAACTTTTTCTGGTATCAAGTTGAAAAAAAAACCGCATAATTTTATTTCTGAGCTTCAGATTGACTTCAAATTTACCTTGTTTGATGAAAAAACATCCTGTTTATCAAATCCTGAAAGTTTCAAGTCGATCTGATACTCAGAAGTATTTTTCAGGATTTTTCAAAGGTGATTTTACCTGAATTTTCCAACTTTTTCTGGTATTGAGTTGGAATAAACTTCATAATTTTACTTCTAAGCTTCAGATTGATTCCAAATTTGCTTTGCTTGATAAAAACATCCTGGTTTTCAAATCCTGAAAGTTTCAAGTCGATTTGATACTTCGAAATATTTTTCAGGATTTTTCAAAGGTGATTTAACCGGTGTCTGACCTTAACTTCCATATTGAATTTCGTTTGACAGGTCATGAGATTGCCTAATTAGTTATGAGCCGCTTCCGGGTGCAGAGTGTGAAGCTCCTAGAACACTTAACACCTGTCATACTCTATGCGTTTTACACTCGAACACTTGAAACCGAACGGGCCAAACTGTAGCCGGAGTAGTTTGGAGTAACTTAGGAGTACTCAAAGGATGGCACCCGAAAGCAGCTCAGAATCGATCAATTGAACCAAAGATCACATAACAAACCCACTCCGAACCAGTTTGGAATTTATTAAGGATAGAACACATGCTTACTATAAATCAGTTCAAAATTGTATTTTATAGTGAACAAATTGAAATTTTTCAACAGTTACAATTTGCAAATAATAGCTGCATAAAATTGTACTTTTGATCCTCGGACCAGTGTAAAATTAGTTCAGAATCGATCCGGAACAGGTTCTATTTGAATCAAGGACAACATAACAAACTTACTCCGAACCAGTTTGGAATTTATTTAGGATATAACACATGCCTACTATAAACTAGTTCGGAATTCTATTTTATTACGAACAATTTCTGGACACCAAATTAAAAGTCTGTTGAAATTTGCAAATATTGCTGCATAAAATTATACTTTTGATTCTCGAACCAGTGAGAATTAGTTCAGAATCGATCCGCAACTGGTTCTAATTGAACTAACGAACTTACTCCGAATTAGGTTAGAACTTATATGGAATAAAAAACTCAGGTCTACAGTTTGGAATTCTATGTTTACCAGTTAAAATGCGCGAATATTGCTGCATACCTACCTAAAATTACACTTATGATTCTGGAAGAACTGGTTCGAATTGAACCAAGGACAACATAACGAACTTACTCCGAATCAGTTTAAGCTTACTATAAACCAGTTTGGAATTCTATTATATTGCGAACAATATCGGGACATTGTTATATATAGAGGAATAGGTAGATGGTAGTTCTAGTAAGTCCTGGACCAGTGATTTACTATACTTGATTTACTCAGAACACCATAATCTGTATTTACGTTGAATAATCTCAAATTATAACTTTTTCGTGATTTTTTTACAAATAAAATGCTGTCTTAGGGATTTTAAAGTAGAGTAAATGGCTGCGGCAACAACATTAAGTTCCAGTGACTCTTCTGGAACAGTAATTTACTCATTATCAAGGTTACCAGAACATCATAATTTCTACTCACGTCAAAGTAATTTTTTAAAGATTTCATGAAGATATAAATTGTCAATTGAAATTGAATGAAAAATAGCAATTTACTCGTTGTAAAATTCTGGTAACTCTGATTAAATTGAGTAAACTGTTGTTCCAGGTTCCAGAACACAAATGTTGGATACTCACAAACTATAATTCGTTTAGTAATCCTGGAAACGAGTAGATTGCTGTAGAATTCCACTCAAACAATTTTTAATTTCTATTGAATTGAATATGAAAAATCATTTTGCTCTAATATGATGGTAGAATCTAAGGCTACAAGTACTTTTTCATGTAAACTGTAGACTTTTGATGTTTGTCTCCAAACCACATTAAAACTATTGAAAATCATTATCATCCAGAAATTTCTACCTTATATTTTGACATCAAAATCAACCCATTACTTCTTCTGAATTTTACTTCCAAGTTACACTTTTTATATTTGGATCAACATATCCACACAATCACATACATAACAAGCGTAGCTTTTATATAAAATGCATTTATCACTTTATATTTATTTTTGCCCAAGGCCAGTGGGTTGGTACGTTTTTACGCGTTCTCGTTGCGAGTAGCCTTGGAATCCCGATCTCGGAAGTCTCTCTCTCTTTACTATAGCATATTTATATCTCGTCTCAAGTTTGAAACATTTCGGTATAATAATGCAATCCATTGTTAATAATATAAGTTGTTGACACAGTTAGAGAGAGGTATTTGAAATACTCTCGCTTTTTTGGACGACCTAGATGCTTGTTGCACCGTGCACAAAGAGTAAAAATTGTGTGGTTTTTGATTGTCCTTTTATAAAGCGCATAAACTTGAGCAATTCTTGATGTGCGATTGAATAGACTTTATCTATAGTCTGATGTGATGTGATGTAAGTTTGTTTTGTATATGAAAATGGCCAGTATTTTCAGTCAATTGCTCTCTTATCATAATATGTATTTTCATCGGTGCATCCTCTGATGGCCTTGGTTGAGGAGATAAACATTGTAAGTAGGTAATCAAAATAGTGGATTTGTGCTCCAAGGCTCGTGGACAGGATAATCAATTTATCCAAAGTTTGTTTCGGATTTTCTTGTATACATGATTATAATTATTATGAAAGTAAAACATTAGTTGAGGAAAAAATCATAATTATAGAAGATTGTAAAGATAAACAAGAGAAAAAGAGTGAACAAATTGGCAATCATCTATTGCTATATTTAAACCAAATGGTAGTCTATTAAAACAGAGAGAACCAAACATTGGGATCTGAAACTGAAAAATACTTAGAAGACTCTCTGGCCCCTTGAATTAATACAAAATTTGAATTGAAGATGGTGAAATCTAGAACTATACAACTCCAATGAAGCAATTTGCAGTTGTTGTAGTCCTTCATTACAACTACAAAATCTCAATTGAAAATATAGATACATAAATATAAATATGTTTTAACATCAACATCACACTTGTCATGAGGCAAAATATGTGTCTCATCTAGGTTAACTATACATGCATTAATATTTGTCAAGGCACGTGCTCGACATTATTCTATGTTATTGAGCAATACAACAAAATGTCCACATTAAAAAGCTTCACACGCATATGCGTGCCTCCATTGTCATTTCGCCCCGCGTTGCCCAAGCGAATTTCTACATTAATAAGCTGCTTGTTGCGTCACTTTTAAATATTTCAAACAGGTTTTTAGCGAATGACACAGATCTAATTGAATTAACCATCTGTAGTCGGTTTTTTTTTTTTGATAAAAACTGCTACTTCCTGAACCATAACGAATTAATAATGTCGATTTTTAATGGCGCAAACTCACGGATTTGGGAGCGGTACTACACTACAATGGTGGTTCGAGGAAATCAACAAACAATCAAAAAAGTTATGACTAATAGTAGTAGTACCGCGGTAATGAAATTTCTATTATCATAATAATGTCGGGACATTTTAAAGCAAAAATTTGAATAATAAGCCTCATTACAATTTCCAATTAACCCGTTATCGGTTTCACGTTAGTTGGCCAGCAAATATAACCATTTTTCTGCCAACTTATTACCAACTCTATGGGTCAATCAAAATCCAAATGTCGTAGGTCATCCAAGGCCTGGCTAAAATAAATCCTAAAATGTTTTATGATTTCGTCACAATTACCGAGTGTGGTACAAAGACGATTTGGCTGGTTTCGCAACAGCGCGGCCATTTAATGCGAAGAACAAACGAAACGGAAAGTGGTACCCGAGAGCGGGTGCGACGAGGAACGACAAGACATACGGGCGCGAGTGATGCAAGACGATCTTGGCGATGTAGGTTGTTAGGTCGTACCGATATTGCGGCGTTGCCGGTTTTGTTGTGGTACCAATAATGATTGTTTGTCTAGGATTTTGTTTATGGTAATGAAATAATTTAGCAGTTTTGTTTCAACGTTCTCTGTCGGTTTTATAGTTTTCTTATCTCAATTTTTGTCTTTTGAATTTTTCTTGAATTTCTCTATGTATGTCTGATTGTTTTCTAGTTTTGTCTTGAAGTTTTTTCATTTATTTCTCAATTTGTTTCTATTCCCGGCTCTTGAATCTTTTCTTAGGATTTTTTTGTTTGTTTTTCAGTTTTTTTTCCCCTAATTTTTGGCCTTTGAATCTTTCTTAAATTTCTTTAAGTATGTCTAATTGTCTTCCAGTTTTGTCTTAATTTTTCTTAAAGTTCCCCTATTTATTTCTCAATTTGTTTCCATTCCCGGCTTTTGAATCTTTTCTTAAGCTTTTTCCGTTTGTTTTTCAATTTTTTTGTCTTAATTTTTGTTTATTACCAGGTCTTGAATCTTTCCTGAATTTCTCTAAGTGTGTCTAATTGTCTTTAACTTCCTCTATTTATTTTTAAATTTTTATGTCTCAATTTGTGTCTATTCCTGGCTTTTGAATCTTTTCTTATACCCCAGGGAATTTAGACTTCCTCTGCGGAATGAGACCAAACAAGCTGAATTTTTGCAGAGATCTTCGTTTTGATGTTCTAATGAAGCACAAAAAAATCGAATATGCCTATCCTTGTGTGTCTTGAGATATCGAAGGTCAAAGGTAACGAAAATCGTTTTTTTTTGCGAAAACCTCGCTTCCAGTGCATCTGACGTCGAAGAACTTAAAACAAAACTTACGTAAAATAGTATTTTCTACAAAATTGTTCCTAAACATTTTTTTATACGACGAACCGTTTTCGAAATATAGCGTGATAAAGCGGGAGCGCATATTCAAAATAGGTGATACTGTTTTATACAGGGTGTCCTCGTTCAACTGATCAAAAATGCTAGGGTATATACAGAAGTAATTTGAGTTAGAATACCGATGGTCGGAAGTGCATCGTTTCTAAAATACAGGGTGTTGAAATTTAAACAACCCCCTTTCATATCATCTGGAGGGCTAATGCTAGGCTGTTCAAATTTTCACGGATTATTGATGTAGGAATGATATAAAAATTGCTTTTTTTTTCAAATTTCAAGTATTTTCTATTTTTTTTGGAATGGTTCCAGGTAGAAAATGGAGGTGCATCATACGAATTTTCAAATATCATGCTTACATCAACAATCCCTATGGAAATTTGAACAGCCTAACATTAGCCCTTCAGATGATATGAAAGGGGGTTGTATAAATTTCAACAC